ATAAAAGTATAGAAATGATATACTATATCATTATCACCTGGATGCGCTTCAAGCTTGTATGATTGTCAGCGAAATCACCCACATTGACAAGTCTGTCTTTCTCTCTCTAAGAAGTCATGAAACTCATCTGAAAGGAAAGTCCTCAAGGGATTTAGAAATCTAATAAAGTAAACTAAACTAAACCGAACCCCAATCTTTAAGTCAAAAGGAAAATCACAGAGGATCGACAGATATTCCATCACCTATCAGCTTTGACCGCACCAATAGATATTTTACTCTGTCTACTATTGACTGCCTCTTTTGATAATGTATACTTCTACTGAATCTTTCAATGCATAACAGTTTTAGCAAAGATTTTCCCTTATGTATGTTTCTAGACAGGCTGGAAATGTGAATTTCATTTGCCAATGCCAGTTTCTTCATTAAAAGCTTGGAAGTTTGGAAATAATGTTAACAACCCCGATCACCCTTCTTTGTCACTGGACCCTAAGCCCATGGCTTTCAAGTATCTGTTCACTGAGTTTAAGATGGACAAGAAATTGAGAACAGTTAAGGACTTAAATTTCTAAGGTGATTAGATCCCACAGGAGGAACAACTAATCTTAATCACCTAAAGAACTTGATATTGATCTCCAGAAAGAATCAGGATATAATTAAGCAAACCATTCTTTTATGGCATTAGCTTAATTAGTTATATTTTGCCGATAGCTCAATCTCTCTTCGAATTCTTTTCGTCAAAATAATATCACTTTATGCTTTCGGCTTTCTTTATGCTTATTATTATTATGTCCATTGCCCAAGCTTAATTTTTATTTCCGTTTCAGCTTCTGCAAATGTTTGGCAAGCACTGTCATCTAACTCTATTCTATGGCATGATCCTCTTCTGTCCTCTTGTGTGTTAACTCCAGTATTGTGCAATGGGAAATTCTAGTCAAATATTGCGGACTCCTCCACTGGATAATAAAAGTCATCAAATTGTTAGAAATGCTGGTGAAAAGTTTTCAAAGTCGAAATTCAAATATTACCAGGCAATCGGCCCAAAACTTAGGAATTCATGTCGCCGAGGCAGATAAACCATTGGTTATGGATTGGCGGATAATCTGATTCCTTCAGCCACCAGCTAACTAGGAGATGACAACATGTGGACATTAAACTTGTACATTATTGAAAAAGTAGCAAACGAAATCATCTTTTCACACTGGGGGCCATGACTTATGAAAACAGAGTAGATATACCACACTTCAAACCTTCCTAGATAAAGCTACCAGGATTGCTCGATTCGTTATCAATTGTTGTTGTACATATCAAATGATGATAGTTAATTATGATCATTAGTTGTAGGATTGCAGCCATGAATGATGTAACCCAAAAAATGAACTTTTGTTCAAGCGTATGATCCAAGGGGGAAGCAGAGTTTGAGCAGCATAACGAAAAGTGGAAATAGGCACTCAAAAAATTTAACCTGAAATATTTGAATCCATTTCAATATGGCTTAAGACCAGCATAATTTTAGGTCCCCGGAAACGCTCAAAAGTCTTAATGTTGCACCATAATATAATTATCATTAAACCTAATAATGTGCTCGTAGAGAATTCTTAAGCATGTTTTGAGAACGTTTTATGTCCCCACTTGGCTTTGCTCGCGATGTCTACCTAAAACTCGGTTGAAAAAGGAATGTTGTTCAACCTACAGTTTCTCCGTGCAAAGCCCTTCACAGAAGGACCAAAGCAAACAAACAAAACAAGAGTCAATTGTCTGAAATATTCAAACATAAACCCCTTTATTTCCAAGAATTCCTTGATCAATGAGAAACATGTCTTACAGGAAGAGACAAATTCACTTTCGTCGAGCCCAGGGTCCGTAAAAGTAGGGATAGTCTTCAACTAAACTACCCACTAACCAGGGCGAAGAGTGGGGCAAGTATAACACGGTTGTCTGTCAGTTGTCCTAAACATAGTTGGACAACGAGAGAGCGATCAGCGCAAGGTGGAATTTCAAATCAATGAAGTATAACATACAAGTAAAACTGTCCTGTATTAGAACTAACTTCTCTTCCAAAGCTCACTTTCTGCCTTTTGCTCCCTTGTTGGAGACGAGGTCAAAGAATTTTGGAAGTGAAAATACCTTTTTTTTTTCTGAAAGATTGGAGTTTCATTGCAAAGGAGGATGGAAAAATCCCCTTCAAAAAAACATCAGTAAAGAACCAGTGATTTGTGAGCTATACCTGAGCACAAAAAGCAGGTATATTCACCAAATCTTACTCATAGCTACCCACAAAAATCTGCTATACAAAAATCGGACAACTATACACCTCCCATGACTGATACATGCACAATCCTGCCTACACAAAACACATCAAATCATGGCAGCAGAACAAAATAGAACAAAAATCTTGGAACGGAAAGCTTCTTTCTACTGAATGGTAGCTTTTTGATAATGAAACACACACACACACACACATACAGAACAACGCTAGAGATAATGCAGATTAAAGTACAATGCAGCAAAATTAAGCTACCAACTCATAAAGTATGATTGAAAAACAGAATCTATAAGCAAACATATTCTGGGGAAAGGAAACCACAAGTAGCCTAAGGGTAAGGAACTGCATATATGGCAGATACATAATATGATGCTGATTGTAGGAAAAGGAAATAAACGCCCCTGATACAATCAAATTTAATAGGATACTCTCATAAATTTAGGCACATGGCAAAGCATCAGTTGGTAGAGATTGAAGCAGACAAGCAAAAAGTGTGCCAAGACACAAGGATATTGCATATTAAGTTTGACAATAGACAGAATTCTCTATGATATTAGGTTCACGAATAAGAATGTATGGAAAACATAAAGTGAAGATGTATAGCCAGGTAAGCATTCACAACAAACGGTCAAGCTCAAAATGGTCCTCAAAATGGTCTTTTCCTAAATTTTGAAAGCTGAAGCTACATCACCCAACAGTTATCTAGAAACTTGTAATCTGCCCAAAGAATTCCTGAATAAAAGGGATTACTTAGTTATGTTCCTTCAACAGAACTTTTATATAGGCAAGAAAAGAACTCTATGAACAAGAGCATGCAATACAGAATTTATGAGAACAGAAGCTCACATATATCTTAATTGGCTAGTACCACAACAAGATATTTTTCTAGCATTAAATATCAGGCAATCACCCGCTTGGAAGGAAGCATGATATAAGAAGGATTTAAAGATGGAATATTTAATTTACCTAGGAAAATGAGCAATTTAGATAATAACCACCTAAAACATAGAAATCAAAAGAAAATTTGGGGTCTTATGGCATTAACAAAGTAAAAGAATCATAATATTCCTTCAATTGGAAATTGAGTGGCGTGCAATTGGAGTACAACAGAGTCACGGTTGGGTCCATTAAGCCATTCATCACCCTGAACCACACAACAGAGTTGCGGTTGGGTCCATTATGCCATTCATCACCCTGAACCACACATCATGCTCTTCAGGAGGCCTCTCAACTATCAGCAGCAACAGGAGGATCAGGCCCAGCAAACCATACTTGCTAAGTAATTATATTAGCGTTCATTAATCAGTATCCAGAAAACGGATGAAAAAAAAATCGATATCATGTTGTGCATGCATAAACAGTTTGGATGTTTTGGAATTCCTGGTTGATAGTCTAATTCTCTACCATGGGAGAATTCCATGTTAGGCTTGTTTCTTGCTTTCTCTACTGTGGTATGGATGACATAATGTCATTGCTGCTGCATCTTAGATATAAAAATGCTTTAGATCTGGTGTACTGCTTAGATGGTGTTGATTAAAATTCTTCTTGAATGGTCAAAAAAGAATATTCCTTCAATCAAGATGTTAGCAGCAGGTATGGTACCAAGGATGTCAACAGAAGTTTGACGGCATTGCAATGCAACAACAGTGATTACATAGATAAGATCTTCAATATGTCCAATTCATTGCATGCGAGAAAACAGACTATACATAAATCGCTTAAGCTGCAACTAGAATTGGGCAGGGAAGTGTTATGCAACACTAGTTGAAGCTTTTAAAGGAAATCAAGTTTAAAAAGTAGATAAATGTGAAGAATGCAGTTTAAGTGATGTAGCAAGCAAAGAGGTTCACCATTCAGCAAAAGAAAATGATGCTCTAATCAGTCAGGAAAACATAGTAGCAAGCAAAGAGTTCACCATTCAGCAAAAGAAAATGATGTTCAAATAGTCAGGAAAACATACTGTACACAGATGTTATATAACCATGGAACACGAAAACAGCTTGTCAACTAAAAAAATTGAAAAAATTGTTAAAGCATTATACCTAATTTTGTCTCAAACATAAGAATACATGTCACATGAGCACATGTCTGTAACAATTCATATCAATTGCACGTTTCTATTACCAAGAGACTAATACACAGACAAGTTAATAAGTATGCATTTCGAATGAACATATACGAATACTTGTTCTAAGCAATTAAATTATCCTTTGCATGCTAGATTCTAATTCACCGCACACAACCTCATAGAACTTCCACATCCTGGTTGCTCTAAAGACCTAAAATTTTTCCTAACACAAATTAAATTTCCAAATCAACTGAAAAGGTATTATAGGATATATTCTTAAAAGAAAATTGCAGAAATATTAAGACTATATATCAGATCTATATAAAATACAGAAACCTGACCTACAACTCATAGCTCTTTCTACTATAACTCTTAAAACACTTTCAATTCGATTGCTTCAAATTCCATAATGTTCTCCCTTAAAAAATGAAAATTCTGAGTGGAAACAAGTTGATGCTTTGATCTATGAACAGCAGAATTGCCTAAGTTCTGTGACACTGACTGCACAGTGAATAAAGGTACACAATGCTGATGAGTTGCGGGAAATAAATCATTAATGAACAAAATTTCTAGCACCCTTCATTCTGCATTTTTCACTGTATCAATGAACGGAGCAGCCAAAACCAATCAAATCATAAGAAGCAAACACATTTCCGACAAGATTACAGAGAACCAAAATAACCCCCAAGATATTAATAAATATTACTATCACAGATATTATTACCGTGATATATAAGCATCCCGAAATATTCATAGTCAGTACAAACAGATCTCAGAAAAAGAAAGGCAAAACTAAATTAAAAAAACCCTAGCAATACCAATAATCATGCTAAACCAAAAAGAACAACCCTAAAGAGAGAGAGAGAAACAAGAATCCTCAGACTCAAGCCTCGGCCTTTACGGACGAGGACGAAATGTCCTCACCGCCCGCAGCTCCCGCGTTACTCGAGTCTGTGTCCGCCGAACCTGATGGAGCGGCGGCGGTGGCGGCAGCTCGAGCTTTGACAGTCTCGAGCATACGCTTGCTGATCTCCTTGGAATATACCTGAAGGATCTCGATACCGTCGTCGTCGGCAGAGAACGATGCTCCGGCGACCGAGAAAGCCTCCTCCTCGATAGACTTGGCCACTGCGGAGGCCTCTTCCTCTGGTATCGTGCCATAGCGTTTGGAAAGGACGGATTGGGACGACAGCGTCTCGATGAGACGGTTGATGACGGCATCGCGGGTGCGTTGGGTGGGGGGCCAAATGCGGAGGGTGAGATTGTTGAGCTTGGCGGTGGTGTCATCTACTTGGGCCGGGGCTTGGGCTTGGTTAGACTCCGCCACCGCGGCGTTGTCTTGCGTGGTGGTGGATTCGGGATCGGTCATTTTTCTTGGGTTTGGGTGGTGAGTGGAGAGTGGGATTTTGAGTTTGGGAGGGGAATTTTTTAAGGGAATTAAAAGCAATAAACAAATATATTTGAGGTGGGGGAAAGAAGAGCATCGGATGTGGGCCGGGTGTGGGTTGAAATGAAATGGACCGACCAACTTCACTTTAATTAGATCTGCCCATGTCTAGAGACTAGACTCTCTTGTTTTAAGTAATTAGAGACTTCAATTTCAAAAATTTTCTACATGTTCTTTCTGGTATTGTTTAGTTGATTGTGATTTGATTGTCAACAAATCAACTTCTGATTACTTAAGGTTGCCTTCCACATTGATTTTCGTTTAAGGCAATACACGAATTTTTGGCAAAGAAGCAACCTTACACTCAATGCAACGAACCCAAAAATGGAGCCAACTCAGCTTCAGACAACTTAAAGCAGTTAAGCCCCTTGGACCATGGGCTACTTTGTGTAACAAAGCAGGCTTCCCCCAACGACCCTCCATTGTCTGTCTGCCCCAACCCGATTGTAATGTTTCTAACGTTTTTGGCACTTACAAGTCTCTTTTAGGGGAAACAATAAAAATAAAGAAAAAAAGCCACGTAACTGAAAACCCCATCCCATTACCATTTTTACAAGGAAAAAATTAGGACCAATCACCTAGATCTCATGAGGTTTATTTGGTTGGAGGACTTTGGCCCATATGGGTTTTTGACGATCCAACATTTTCATTAATCAAATAGGATACTTTAGGATAAAGCTAGCAAAGGCCGTCAACAACAAACTAATGAGGAGTCAAAGTGTGAAACTATGGTTGTACCAAAAACAACTGTCAGACAACGACTAGGGAAATCTAGCTTATTACACATCCATAACAAATTCAAACTCAAGACGAGGGCATTTGCCACACTGGTTGATACGAGACACTAGTAATTCATATCTCTGAAAGAACATTAATAATGGATTTGCGTGGTTTGAACATGGTGACCAATGGCTTAGCTTTTGGCATGGTGAGTCCTATCCCCTCTTCCTCTTCACTAATCCTTTCCCACTCAAAGCACTGAATCAATGCAGCCAACGCCAGTCCTACCAACCTGTGAGCAAGGCCAGCTCTAGGGCACTCTCTTCTCCCCACCCTAAATGGTATGAACTTACAAGCCTCACCTTCCAATTCTTGGAATCTTTCTGGCCTAAAAGTTGTAGAGTCATCCCACAGCTTGGAGTCCCTGTGAATTGGCGAGGCATTTACTAGTAAAATTGTGCCTCGATGGATGTTATATCCTCCAATTGTGCAGTCTTCGGATGATTCATGAGCTGGGATGAATGGTGCTGGTGGATTGAAAGTATGGCAACTTGGCAAGGTCTGGTTCATTTACCAATCGGTTGTGACCAGCAATATCGTCTAACTCGGCTCTTGCCTTGCTTAAAATAGCAAGATGGTTGAGTAGAAGCGAGAACGCCCATTCTATTATAATAGAAGATGTGTCTGTTCCTGCACCAAGAAACGCCTATAAGAGAAATTGGGTAACGACGAATCAAAATGAATGGGAAGATGTGAAATCCTTCAAAAGTTCTTTGTTAGTGCAATAAAATTTGCATCTTTCAGAAGCCTATATAAAGCTGATCAAATAAAAAAGTGAGTTGTCTTGTCATATTGTATAATATCATCTAACTCAGTTCTTACCTCGTTTCAAACAGCAAAATGATTGAGTAGAAGTGAGAGTGCCCATTCTATTAGAATATAAGATATATCTGTTCCCACACTAAGAAACACCTATGAGAGAAATTTGCTTACAAGTAATGCCTATAAGAAGAGTAGGAAGAAAGTAAAGTATTCTAAATACCTTAAAATATTTTACAACGTGGGTTATTGGTGTGTATCAGTCTAGGCAGGTCTTGTACGTACGGTTCTCTTGCTTGTAGCCCATGTCGTAAATTAATTCTCGTTTACTCCCTTCAAGTTGGAGCATGAAGATTGAAAATGTCCAACTTACTTTGGAATACTTTATTTGACTATTATTCTTTTTAACAGCCATCAAAACGCAGGTTGTTGACGTATATTTGTTTACGCCGACTTTATATATAGGACTCTTTTACGTGTGATTCATATCTTAAATTAATTTTCCTTTAAAAACAAATCAAAATGAATGAAAAGATAGGAAATTCTTCAAAAGTTTTTTGTCAGTGTAATAAAATTTACATCTTTGAAATGCCATTTTCGATTTATCATATGGAATGTGGACTCAAGCATTCTTTTAAAATTCCATAGTCGTGATTTTGTTTGGGTTCAAGCAATCAAAAGAAATAATGTTACATCATCCCGGACAAGATTGTCCAGGATGAAGGAGAGAGGTAAAAGCCTAGGGAATTTTTTGTTGAACATAATTGTTAAAGGTAAAAGCTGGACGAAGGAGAGAGGTAAACCAAGACAGGTTACTTGCTGCAGCAGAGCAAATAGATTAAGACTTGTCTTTTATGCAATGACGATTACTTAAGTATTATAAAATGTGAAAATGTGGCTCAAGCCGTCAAGTTTTCTTTATATTTCTTTTGTACTTTGGTTATTACTCAAGAGTTATTAACTCTTAATGTATATAAAAAGACTTGTGCGAAATTAATGAATTGGATTATTTTTTTGGTCTCAAAGCTTTGCATAGCCTTTCCTTGCTCCCTTTCCTTTCTTGTTTTTTCTCAGCTCTCTTATTATTTGGAAGAAAATATGTTCGTATAGAAGTTTTAATAAATAGTTTATCAAGAGGAGATGAATTAGTATTTAAAATTTTTTAAAAAAATTTAATATAAAAATTCAAACTTTTACAACAAAAATTTTTTTCTTGTGTCAAAAAAAATGTGTGATTTTCTTAAACAAATTTTTAATAGTAAATTAAAATGGACAAATAATAAATTAAAGTAAAGATATTTTCTAAATCAAATGCAAGCAACAATAATGAATTAAGATAAAATATTTTCCTAAACTAAATGTAAACAATAAATCACAATACGAAAAATTATTAACAAGACACAAGATTTTATAATGGTTTAGCTTTCTTTAGTGTCTACATTCACTCTTTTGGAACACCAAAAAATTTCAAATTCACTAAGAGAAATGAGCTTTTTACGATATTAAGTGAAACTTTTACAATGTTTTTTCATGATATCAAGTGAAACCCTTTAACAATGGTTTTTACGAGCTCAACCATAAACCCATAAATAGTTTTTCAAGGTTAAATTAAAACTTTGACAATGAAGTACAAAGTTTAGCAAGAAAATGCCTACAAAGACTTAAGTACTAAGAGTTTAAGCTTGATTGTAGTGAGAGAAGAAATATCAGCTCAAATAAAATAAGTTTTCAACTTTTGTAAGCTTGGTAGAAGACTAAAATGAAACTAGAAAGCAAGGATAAGATTTTGGAGGTTTTCCTAGGATTTGAAGCTTTGGCTCAAGTTTTCTCTTGCTTTAAAATGGCTTAAAGATGTCTATTTATAATTGGTAAGCAGTTCGAAGTCATTAGACATACATTTAAATCAAATTTAACCATTGTTGAAGCTTGAAGGTCGACTATAACACTCCTAAAGTCAACTATGTTTTTTAAAATTTTCAACTTAGGGCTCAATAGTTGAGTATAACCTTCCTTTACTCAATCCAATTCGCGAAAACTTAATTTTTGTAAGTTTAAGCTGTTATAATTGAGTATGCCTTTGCTAGGGTCGATTATGGCTATGTAAAGTCCTCTTTTTCACTTACTTGACTTGTCAGGTTCAACTATACTTTAGCTAGAGTTGACTATGGCTTATATTCTTCAATTTTGCATTTTTTCTATCTTTGGATTGACTTGAGCTTCTCTAAAGTAGACTCTTGACTTTTGTCTTAAGGTTTCCTTAACTTTTTAATGCCATTATTCAACTATGTCTTCCTTGTCTTGTTCTTACAATCAAATAACAATTCAAGGCATGTTTGCTCTTGCTTTCTTAGCTGAATATGCATTGTTTGATAGCTTTTATGATGTTTTCTAATGATGCATGGCTTTTCAAACAATTATGTGACTTTAAAGGATTAAAAATATATTTAAAGCAATTTCAAATGCTTGACATTAAGTTCAAAATAACATGTGATTTTTGTCAAATTAAAACATAATGTAACTCAAAGCTAACACTTTTTAATATGACAAAAATATGAGCATATTGCATTTGAAATTTCTTGAAACCTCTCTCTAACTTAATTAGTCTCTATGCCCTTATTGAAAACATTTAAATGTAAACAAGAAGGGTATAAGAAATGAATATAAACTTTGAAAATTCTCCCTCTCAATTTATCAATGATGTTTAAAAATGTTTTTAAGAAAAATTCAGCTAATATAAGAGCATTTCAATATGCTCATAAACCTTCTCCCTTTTTTTGTTATATCAAAAAGGTTAAGAAGTATGAGCTTTAAATGGTTAAACTCAAGAGATAATGGTTAGTGATAATCATCAAGTATAAATAAGCATTAAGTTCAATAATAATCACTAATTACCCAATCAAAATAATGAGATATTTCCATGTGAAGATATTCACTCAATAGATCAAGAAATATATCCATTCATCATAGTATGAGAGCATTAAAGCAAGATATATTTCCATTCAATATGTATTCAATCAAGGCATAGGGAAATATACACATTTAGCATATCTAAGGAACAATATGTTTAAATAGGTCATAATATATATTACTCAAGGTATTCATTTTAGGCATGAAAAAATATATTCAATCACCATAATAACTAAGATGTATCTCCATTTAATATATTTTCGAGCAAAGTGTTAAAGAGTATATCATCCAAGGACACATGTATATATATTTTCATAAAAATGTAAAGTACTATTTAAAGAATATGATCATGCATATAATCAATCAAATAATTCATAATAACTTTTATACAAGTGAATCAACCAATTAAGTAAATTTATTAACAATTCAAATAAAAAAATGTAACCTAATCAAGGCATATTAATAATAGCTAATTCTCCCTTAATCTTATAAAAGGCCTCTATATCTAATAGCTTAATAAATACATCAGCCAATTGATTTTAAGTAT